CATATTAAACTATTTTTCATTTTTCATATTTGCCATGTTTGAAGACTTGGCAACTACGCAATAATTTGTAGCGTGTTCCTCGTTCGTTCTGCCGTGGTTGGCAGAATATGGCGTCTCTTGTTAGAAAATAGTTGTGATTTTAGTAAGTGAAACGTGATTAGTGTTTATACATGTATTTTGGATAAACTTTTAAGGTGTGAATATGGTTAGACAGTGCAGAATTTGTAAGAAATTGGATTATAAACATCCACATCAGCTATCCTTCCACAGGTAAGCGTGCTTGAAGGTGACTTTGGAATGTATATGCAACTGTGGCCATTGTCGTGCGTGTGGGTAACTTTTATTTGAATAACGGTAAAATTTTATAAAACTGACTTGGTATTTTTTTAAAATTTTTGCTGAAATAGTAAGAAAACAATAATATGAACCACGTTTGGCCATTAAAATCAAAGGAAAATGCTGCACCACAAATAAGTTACAGACATTATTTATATTTAATATATTTATAGGTATTTCAATGTTATCCCTTATACCCAACATTACAAATTTTAATCATTCATCATTTTCATTTTCCTCTACGACAAAAACCTTTTCAAAAATATATTTACAATTTTACTAAATGCACGAGCATAAAAACTGAATAAATACAACAGCAAAAATATGGTGGTGGTTCACTTATACATAAAAATACCGAAGATGCAATCAACTGAAAGTTGCATTCATTCAACCATTTGATGTTCTCCTTTGGGAATATATTTTTATGTCTCACTGAAAATTTGCCTCAGTATTCTAAAAGTGAAATGTGAACGTTTTTAGGATGCTTGGGGATGGTGCAACAAGAAAGAAATGGTTACAGTTATTGGGATTCCAAGAAGTTATAAAAATATATATATTTATTATAAAAATACTGAGTGGCTGTTGAAATATATTGACTTAGGACTATAAAATATTTTATTTTGACCCATCCAAAATGTACGACATTGGAGATGTAATCGCGCTCATTAATTGGATGAAAATAAAGCCCTCTGCTTTCCCCTTGTCTAGCTTCACCCAACATATGGATAGACTGTGACATGCATAGTCCCCTTTATTTAAATGTCCTTGAGATATACATATGACTGAGTGCTTGAGTGCACGCTAAAATCAAGACGAGAATTAAATTTGTGGCGCCATCTCTCGGGTAAAAACAACACTAACATATGATACATAATAAATATTACAGTATACTTTAAATTAATAGGCGGTCGTCGATAGAAATATTTTGTACAGTATATCAGTCAAGGAGGCGGTGATGGAAGGTAGTGTCTACCATTAATAATAGATGGCGCTATCTACTTGGTAAAACCGGAAGACGTAACGACTCAGCTTAATGTAATGATTCATAGCTTTTCAAAAAAAAATACTTGAATTAAATTCTAATATTGTTAAATGTAATCAGAAACGTTCAAAATTTTATCCAACAACTCGTAAACACGGTTGGGTACGTTTAATCATGTTTTGACCAACAAAACCCAATGTTATTTCCCAATAAAAGTAGGTGATAGTTTGTAAGTCAGGAGAACGTGGTGGTCACGCAAATAAAAGATAATCTGCTGGTACTAATGTTTGGAACGTTTAAAAAATTGACGTTTTAAACCGTTTTTTCAATCTCACGGCTTTGTTATTGCAAATTTCGTAATCGGACCACCATTTTGTAGCTATTTTTATTACGAACAAAATCATGTCCTAAGCATTTTTTTGTACAGAGTCATCCCGCTGAGTTATTTAAAGAAAACTACAAAAAAAAGTTTCACTATTAAATTGTTAATAACTTTTTTCCTGATAAAATACTTTCTCCGCAAATTAGCCCGTTATAGTACTCATCATTTAAAGTATTCCTGTGTAGTTATTTCCGGGTTATCAAGATTTGACACAGGCCGAACCTCTACCAAACTGGACTATACTAAGAATGTATGCGTTGTCTATGAGACATCCATCAATAAGTTTTGACATAAGCCTACTTTGAGAAAAAGTACTTATTTTATACACCGTATTACTGTAAGAGTTCATTTCTCGAAAACCGTCCACACGGACCGTGATACGAATGTAGCATAACTAGCGCCCTCTATGAAATATACAAAAAATAATTAAACCGGTGTATTTGGCATGCTTACCCCCCCCCCCCCCCCC